CAAATACACGATCTCGGCCTATGATATAAAAAAAGAAGCATAAATTTTCGAAATTGATGGCAAAGCATATACAGAAATCACTCAAATAGTATTCAATGATTCTACATTAAGAGCAAAGCATTCTAATACAGTTGTCATGGGAGATGACAAAATGCTGGTGATGGAGAAAATCCGTGTAGCGATCTGAGACGTAAATAGTGCTGCAGACATTTCATCATTCGTTGTAGTTGATAAAGTCAACAGTATTTGATTTGAGGCCTTCACGACATAGGCCGTTACGGTTTTTTCAGACACAGAACCATTATTTGCATTAAAAACCATTGCCCTATCTAAGTATGTCTTATTGCATGTCCGTGGTAAACAGTTAGCAATCTCCTTGTCCCACTAGTGAATGTAAATAAATCGAAGTACACAACAGTGAGTTTCCTTTCCATCGAAAAATAATGTATAATGAAAATTATTACTTCTCAGATCATGAAGTATACTGACGTGTCACGTATACGTGTTTAGATGCGATCCACAACAAGTAATTAGAGAAAACCTCTATCGTGTTCACTTAATTTATAAAAAATAATTTATTCATTGAGTATGTAACCGAAATTGATTGGAATTTGAAAAAGAAATATTGGCGAGTAATTTAAATGAATTCAGTTGGGCCTCTTAATGATCAACGCTTTCATTAGTTTTATTTTCTTTGTTTTATTGGAATGGTTTCATTACATTTGTACAGTTAGTAAAATTTAAACAAAGCAGTCTCAGGCTATGTAATAAAAAATCATAAAATTGAGTCAGGCGCCAGGTCATTTAACGGAATGACCACCGTGTTAAAAGCCCTACTCGACTTTCAGCCTCAATTATCCTGCTGCTCGATATGTAGAGATTCACAATGAATCTGAAACTGAAAAGGGATGCAACTGGGATAGACAAAACCAGGGGGCACCACACACAGACATTCTCAAAAACTTTTGTATTTTTACATTTCAGACCATTCTACATCGTTTCCAAGCAAAATTAGAATTTTTTTTTTCCGGTCGGGATCGGACGATTGCAATGCTTCCATTCGGAAGCAAAAATAAAGAAAGAAACTATAGAATTGTCGGAGAGAACAAATTTCAATGAATTATTACGTCTCGATACAATAAAAAAAAGAAATAACATAAAATCCTTTTAAATCGCATTCACGTGATTGATCAAATAATTTAATTTTACACAAGTCATTGTCGTCCAATTAAATTGATCAATTACTTTGTGAAGTCGAATGAGCAATAAAAAAATAAAAATAAATAAATAATAACAGATCGTCAACGAAGTCAGGATTAATAGATTATCAAAAAACTGAGTCGCGAGACTCGAATTGTTATTATCAAATGGAAATAATAAATTATTGGGAACACCTGAGTTACTAAACTTAATTGTTGTTATTTTTATTGTAGGAAAACAGTCAAAAGTTTTGATCAGAAATACTTCTTGTAAAGTGTTAAAGTGATTCAATGACTCGAGACAACACGAAAATCGATAGGTCTACGCGACCCAAATAAAAGAAAGACAATAAATACTTCAATCGGCGACTAATCACTTTCGAGGCCAAGAGACTTTCAAATAAAATTCAATGGCCAGAGAATTTTATCCAAAATTCGGGACGACTATTTTATATAATTTCAAAGTTGCGAAACCAATAATTCACAAAAAAAAAAATTCTTAAAATAAATTATAATAGGATATAATCATCAATTCGGAGAGAGAGAGAAAGCACAGAAAATTTTCATTGATTGAAGCGTCTAGAGATTCACTGATTCATTCACGAATTGTTCTTTTGGACTCGAATGTACGGGACATCAAATTTAATTAATTCTACTAATCTCTGCCCACTACCAAATCACCAAAAATTATATCCTTAAATTATAGTGGCGACCACGCTCAGCACATCTCCAAGAGGTCTATCGCGGCGCCTTTCGTAATTCATTTTTTTTTTGCACAGGCACGCTCTTAATGCTTACCAAACGGGAAGTGATTTTGCAACACACGTGAGCGCACGCAACAGGTAGTTAACGCGCGATATAATATTATTTGGGTGGGGGGGGGGGGG